TCTCTAGAAAGGATGACAAGGATCAGTTTTTAAAGAAAAGTTTATTTACTATCTAAAGTATTTCTTAAATGGCACAGCAAAGGCAACACACAAAGGCACAGAAACAGCAAAACATCTACTCTAAAGGCATATTTGAAAAGAAGGCAAACATTTAAAACAGTTTGTTCTTAACCTAAGAAAAGTTCACATTTCAAGTCATAACTTGCTTCAGTAGTGTATAAATGAAATGGTTCAGAAATTGTTATAAAGTCTGGCCACTGATAACCTAAATGGCCTTGATCTTGCTTGCCAGGTTTTCCAGCTAGCGCCTTTTCATCAGCCCAGAATTCCTACAGGCAAACACATTTTCAAAAACAGGCCAGGATTTCTTTAGGATCCACCTTTATTGCAGATACTATACATTTGTATGTAAAATACAGTAAAAGCTTAACTTTTAAAAAGAAACTTACCAGGGCATTTTAGTGCAAGCCTTCCTTATTAAAGATTTTAAAACACAGACTCGGATCTCATTATTTTTGTGTGATGGAGAAGATAAAAATAAAGCAAGGGTAGAAAGAAAGTAGTGATGTTTAACCTGAGCACTGTGACTTAGGCCTTTTGCCATTGGTAGACATTCTATAAGTGCAGTGTAGGCCTGAGGGAGAGAGCAGGAAGTGTGTGTGTCGCACAGGAAAGGGGGTAGTCCTCCAAGCTCCACCAGAAGAGAAGCTGAATTCTCACCAAAGTTGCAGCTGCTGAAATGGGGGTAGTTTTTGGTGCCTGTGCTATGCTACCTTCAGGCTGTACCATATGACTGGAAAAAATAAAACACCCTCCCCCAAATTTTAGCATTCTGCTAGGCAAACTAAAACTTCCAGCATGAAGGCTAGGCTACTTTTTGCATGAAGTAACACAATTTTTTTCTGCTTCTGTAATATGGTGGCACAGCCAAATCCACGTTCGCTATCCCACAGAGAACTAGGCTAAGCTTGGGGCTTACATTCCAAGAAAAGCAGGACGACCATTGGAAAGCAAACTGGTTCCATAGAAACATTTCAGTAGTAATGGTGGCCCTTTGAGGTAGGGTGCAACAGTAATTCCAGCCATAGCGGATATTTTTAAGGACCACCCTTTCAAAAAAACATAATAATAATTACTGCCACTTATTTCTATAGGAAAATACTTTGCAGTTTTCAGCTAAAATACACTTACAATATTCTTGTTTTACATTATATTTTCAATTCAGGAAAAAATTGCTGACTAGAAGGATGCCCTATTTTGTAAAAACAATGAATTTCGTATAAAGCTGTTTATTATCTAAATGTTCAACCTTTTGCCTTAGTGAGTCAAAGTCTGCGATCCCAAGATGCTGTATTTGCGCCCAGTAAGTTGTCTTCAAATCACTTGTGTTTCCGCAATTGTTTCTAAGTTCTCAGACTACACCAAGTAAGTCCACAGACTTGTGGAAGCTCATCTTTTGGGTAATGGGTGTGCATGCGCTGTTGTTAAAGCACCCGTGTGCAAGGAAACTCCCTTCACAGTGTTTTGGATCCAACCCAAAGTTGGCATATCATCTATTGCACACCTCACTTTAAAAACGCTTTTAGATGGAACCAAGGTAAGTTGTTTAGCACAGACTAAACATTAGTCAATGCAACATGTACTGTATTTTACATTCACTCCACCACTAAATAAAGCCTTTAAACAGGCCACAAAACACCACAATAATATTACTTAAACATTTTTCATATTGAAATAAGATATTGGCTTTGTGGCATACCACATAACCATGAAAAACAACAAAACAACATCTAAAATGTATTGCAAAGGTATTTACATGTGTGTGTTTTTAATTCATAGTGGTTCAAATTCCTTTCTTCTCCAATGTGCATGTCAAATTCCCATTAAAGGTAATGGGAATGGTGAGTAGAAAGGAGAATAAGGAAAAGAATAAAACCACTTAGGTACTATATTACTAACCCTCTTACCTCTGCATAGAACTTGGCAAAGCTACTTTAAAAAGCAGTATTTTCTGTCAGCAAGAGCGTATCTGGTCCTCAATTACACTAGTGCACATTCTTTCTACAACATACACTTGAAAAGAGTAAGAAGTAGCACGTGAGACTATACTTTATACTGCAACATAAGAGCTTGCTGAAATTCAGAAGTTATTCGCATGCATACATAAAAAAATTAGTAAACCCACAGGTTGAAAAAACTTGCTTAAAATTACAATTTACTATCCCTCATTGTACTTCTGTGCTTGGAACTAGCACTTGGAATAGTTAGCTCCCATACAGGCACTCTGTCTGCAGATTTACTTCTTAAACACTATTTACGTAAAGTATGCTTACAATCAGGGCCACAATTCCATGCAAATATAGAAAAGCTTCACAATATGTGTTGCTCAGTTTCTTTGGAAGTTAAGTTCCATGGACTTCATGTGGGGGAAAAAACCCAGTTTTGGACATCTGATGACCTCTTTAAAAGCCACAGAATTGACTGAATAAGCCTTTCAAGGGATTACAAGAGGTGGGCAGTTGTCAGTTGCCTGCATGGGTCCTTGTCCCTATGCAGGAATAGATAATTTATAGAGGTTCCAGAGGATGGCCTGTACTGGGGTATAAATGCATTTTTTCTTGCCCAGGAGCTTTTTAAAAATGTAGCATACACCAGACCTAGCTTATATAATGGAGGTCTACTTTCACCATTCCACACAGACACCAGAGGGCCAAAGTGAGCGTTCATCTAATCACACCTCGTGATTATGCACACTTGATTTCTTCACTTCTCCATAAGCACACATGGCCCCATTGCAGCTCAGGTGTGCAGTAGAACAGTGGAGAGGGGTTTAAGGTTTTCTCTGTGCTTGTTTTTATTTCCAAATGGTGGGGGGGGGGGGGCGGGTTAAAAAAAGAAAGAAGTCTCCATCAAAATCTTTGTATGTACAGTGGCTGCTCTACCAAGCAAATGATTCAGCAGAATTTTCCTTGACGTGTTAACATTTGTGATCTCTGGCAATTGGCAAAATATTCCAGGTAATTCTTGCTGGTTGGCAGCCCAAAGAGACTGTTCAAAGCACAGAACAGGAAAAAAAACCCATGATCTTATGTTTACCATCACTTTTTGACAGAGGCAACTAAATAATAAGCTAAGAATATTGTGCAAGCAGGCACTGAGTACCACTATAAACACATTTTGGTATTGTGCAGTTCTGTTTTAGACTCTGTTGCCATACCTACTGAATCTGAACAAATGGGGGGTTTTGGGTAGATATTTAGAAAACTCTGACTCAGGGAAAAACAGCTGACTTAGGGTTTATATAGCCCTTAATAAATTCATCCTATTATTGTTTGAAGTGGTTAAACCAAACCTTTAAAACATTGTTGGCTATAAACACACAGTAAAAAAAATGTGGACCAAATTAAGATCTGTCATTCTCTCCATATGGTTAATTATACCATGATTTTATGCTTCCAGAAGTAAATCTGCAGAATGTTCAGGACAGGAACATAAGGAGTTGCTTGGCACAGGTCAGACTATCTGTCCATCTAGCTTGGGATAGGCAACTTCTGTGGGAACATTTGGACATTTGAGAAACATCCTGGGCATCACCATAAAATGGCTGCAGGAGAAGCATGGAAAAGGACAAGTGACCTTCCCAAAGGACCAGGCAAAGGAGGGATCTGAGCCCAAATATATTAACTCCTTTGAGAAACCACAGCTTTCAGCACCAACAGAAATCTATTTCACAGCAATGCCAGATGGAGGTAAGAAGATGTATTACTTTAAAGTAAGTATGTGAGGGGTAGGATACATTGGTGAATAGAAAGGTATCTGGGTGCATTAGTTTCCACAGGCACTAGACTGCCTACCCCTGGCCTAGTGGTATTGACTACTCTGACTAGTAAACCATCTCAAAGGTCTCGCTAACTGTTCCTACTAGTTGGAGATGCCAGGGATCAGACCTGAGCTATTATGCATGCAAAGCACGTGCTCCACTACAGCAACAGACCCTTCCTGTAGGGGGAAGAAAACAACCTTGATTTAACAATTTCTACACACTCCCAGTATTCATACATGCAGTAATGCCACAAGGTTTCATAAAACCCACTTTTAAAGTTATTCTTTCTGTTGTTTAAGGACAACCAATTCTAAACTAAATGAACAAATCTGAGGAATGATTTTTCCACAATATAGAAATGACTTGGTTCTATATTATAATATAGAAATGCTCCAAGGTTGAAAATTAAAGCAAGCTAGTAAGTACAAAAAATGATCTATGGGAAAATGCAAAAAAAAAGTTATCTTTAAGATTAAGCATATTTTAACATGCACTAATTTACAGGAGCATCTTTAAAATAGTATGTCTTTAATTGTGGTTTTAGATAACAAAGCAACCGTACAAATGCCCAGACACAAAGCAGAGGTCTCTATCACTTTCAAATTGCACTTTCCAGTTTAACTTTTTAAATAAGACACATATTTGTGTGTGTATATATATATATAATATATATTTTAAATCTATTGCATGTATTTTTAAATATCGAATATAGTCTTCAAAATATATTGTTTCAAAACTTTCCCCTACCTGCTTAGGTTCACTTTTCAATATTTAGCTGATATATTATTAAAGGCACTACACAATAGAAATCTCTGGAGTGCAGAACTTACTAAAAATAACCTTCATACCACAAATACATTGAAAATAAAATTGCTAAATACCTACCAAGTATATAAACCTGTATAGAAGAATGGGCCTTTAAAAAAGCCATTTTAGAAATGTAGGAATACAGGCATATTAAACATTTTAAAAAGCCTACAAAGTTAGTAAAAACTTCATACGTATAAAAGATTTTGAACAAGATGATACATTTGATATAAACTTCACTTCCAGGTTTTATCATCGGTTTATCATCGGACATCCAAATATTTTCATTTGCAGCAGATTCTTTCTTCATAAATAGTATAATGTTCCTTCAATGTTCCATCCCCACCCCACCCTACCCATGAAGGCCAGCAGTCTCAATAGGTTTGGTAGACGTCATGGATCGGAAGTTGAATAGCTGCTGTTGGAAATGCTTGAGGAATATAGCCGGCATACCCTCCATAAGCTGCAGCAGCAGCATTTTTCTGTAGTGTGGCTATTGTTGCTGTGGCTGCAGCCGGGGCAGCAAATGGAATGTAACTTGCACCATAAATTCCTGCAGCTGGAATTCTCTGCACATTCGGAGCCATGGTGTACACAGGAGTTATTGGGCGTCCCTGGAAATAACAATTTTAGAAAGTCACACCCATGACAGATCTTTAAAAGGATATGCATAGCTTAAGCGTTCTTCATGCTTCAACATATATTAGAAGCCAGATGAAATAATCTTTCTGGGCATAGTGAAACTTTGTGTTTTTCTGTAAGAGTCTTTTCCAAGACTTTTCCCACCACTTTCCCAAAGTTTCTGCTTCCCGATTCTTTGTGGAATTAAGACTGGCTCCTTTACACCCGCTTTTTTCTGGGCCTTTTCTTTCTCTGCCTTTCTCTGTGTCCTATTATGCAACCATAAAGTGGTGCTGAAGTTCAGAGAAATTGCAAAAATTCCATTCATTTCCAAATAAAGCCACATTCCCCCAATCTAAAAAAAAAGTTTTGGAACAGCTAGGAAAAAAAAATATAGGAGAGGTCCTGGATGATGACAACATAGTGCAAAGCACTCACAAACTACCTTGAGTGAGGAGACATGAGGGCAAAATGAATGCCTCCTGTAGGGAAGGCTTTTGCTTTCATTAAATTATTGTCTTCCTATTTCCTCCCTGTCTCCCAATCCCAGTTTTGATAGTTATGTCTCTCAACATGTAGTTTCACAACCTGTAGAAAGATCAATTTATTTTACATTGCATGCTTTGTCCTTCATTTTAAAGGATACTTGAGCAGTGTGGACATGTACTTTGGAATGGCCACAGGCTATGGCAAGAGTAGGACAGTGAGAAGTATCATGAGTTCTTGAACTTCCAGCTGGACACTTTTATTTAGCGCCCTGAGCAATCTCCCAAGATGCAGACCTTGGACATAAAATGGGCAGAGGCCCAGATCACTTGCTTTTCATACACAAGGCACCTTGGTACTTTCACTTAGAAAGAGATAAGAGCCTCAGAAGAACTTAGCTACGAGACCAAGATCCCATACCAGAATAATGGACTACAGAAAACCCACAAGCAGGATATGAAAGATTTCAATCTTTGCAGAGTCTATAGAAAGAGCAGACTAAGACATTATGCCTACTGGCTGCAGGAAGAGACTTTCTAAGTTGCAACAAGAATACAGTTTAAAAAAAAAGGAACCAGTGGCTCAATCTCGTTTGTAACTGAAATCAAGCAAAAGATAATAGTGGAAAAACAGAAGTTCATGACCTTTTTAAATCTTACTTTTAAAAATCCTCCCTGAGTTTGTAAACATTTTAAAAATCACCCTGCCAGTGCATGCAGACATTGTTCTAATATTTATATTGCAGGAGAAAGAGCTACAGCTAGGACAGTTCACATGGCACAATGGCCTAGAGTGGGCTGATTTACTCTTGAGGAGCAAGCAATGCATGTCAGCAGGTACAGTGCACAAGCCTTGGCTCGGAGTTGCTGTAACTTACTGTGTCATGTAAGCCTGGGCAGTGGGTTGTTTAAAAGCTAAACAACCATTCATAATCCTAAAGCAGACCATGAGCTTGCACATTCATAATGGTGGGCAGAACAGATCTTATGGTTGAAATTAGTGAAAGTACGCAAGTTTCTCATATTGCCTGGAGAGTATAAGCTGAGCATATAAGCTACAATATTAGCTACATTCAAGGATCATCGCAGCAGTGAAGGCAGCCAGGGAAAAGAATTTAGGGTTTCTGACATGGATGAAAAAATGTTTTCCAGGTACGAGCTCTTCCCCCTGAGAAACAGACACAGAGGTAGATGTAGGTCTCTGAGGCCTTGTCTCCCTGTCTCAGTAGACCTGGTTCCCAGTAAGTTCAGAAAATGGAGACCTACTTTCTGATGCTAACATGGCTTAAGAAAGAAAAGTGCTCTCATACACAAACAGTGTAGTTCCAGGGAGGAGGATATATGCAGTTCCAAAAGCATATTTGGATAGTTCATACTTCAAGTAAAACAAAGTTGTATTTATGTTAGCTGATATAAGAAATGGCTCATAATGGGAACAATAGAGTGACTAGTCCAAGTTGCTCTAAATAATTTGCCCCCAAAACAACAACAAAAAAGCACACTGTCCACCACATGCACAAATCACTCTGTCTGTAAAGATCATTGTTCCTCTTCCCCTATGAATCACTTTTAAATTCCTTCTCTTTCTTCTCTCCTCCCCACTCACCAGGTCACTCCTCCTCATTTCCAGTTCTCCAGTCTCCCAGACTGACCTCTCCATAGCTGTGGTATACCACTCCCCTGCTATCCCCCACCCAGTCACTACTACTCTTCTGCACTGCCCTTGCTCGTCTCCCACACAGTTGCCTTTTTAATTTGGTTGGTTAGAAAGCAGCATAGTTCCACTGTCAAACTGTTACACCCCCTTCCTTTCTCTGCAGAATGCCAAGCCCAGAAACATTCTGGGCAAGGAAACACACTGGACATCAGAGCTCTGCTACCTGCCCAAGGTTTTGTATTGTAAATCAGAAAAATATTTTAAAATCAGGAGGGTTCAGGGTCTTGGCATGTGCTGCAGAAGATGTCTGCAGGCATCATGTTCCTGATGTTAAATTTAGTGCAATACACACAAGCTGCAGCATAACTGTTTCCAGTGAAACCCAGCAAGTTATTTGCAAAACCATATCTTGGAGAATCCATCAGTGAAGGTGTCCTGTTCTCTTAAGAAGAATGGTGTTCATTCAACAGCAACATGGCAAAAAAGCAAGCATTCTCTATACTGAAAGGGGGTACTTCTTAGCAAACAATTACCTGGAAAGGAGGAGGGGTGGAAACTGCAGGTATTACACCTGCTGCTGCCGCTGCCACTGCTGCTGCACTAGCTGGATCCTGCTGGACAGTAATGGGGCTGATGATATGCTCAACTGCATGGATTTTTCCATCTTCAATCATCTTTGCGGCCGGTGCTGCTTGAAACATGGAATACTGCGTACCAATAGTTGGGATAGCCACTAGAATAGACCATGACAGGGTATTATCAGGCTAAATTTACTATGAAATTGCATTTCTTCCAGTCTTTAGCCAACTACCATTTCCAGAAAGTTCCAAAATCATGTAAATTGGAGATGATTTTTTTTTGGAGACTTGGTTTCTTTCATCTCTTTACCATGTTACATTTTAAGAACAGGTACAGACACAGCAGTAACATTAAAGACTTATAACTTCTAAAACTTTTTCTGCCATTTTGTAAATGTTCTTTTCCTCCAGGATGTGAACACACGCATGCTGATTCTCTCACTGCATTTGTACTTGCCTTCTTGTATATGCATGACTCAGAGCACACCTATGCCTTCCAAGAGTATCCGTTTTCTTCAGCGGAAGTTGTGCTTTTGTGGGTAACCAACACACATACATGACATGAGTCTGGAAACCTGATCCTGTGACAATCTATTGCAAAACTAAAGAGAATGTAGCAATGGCAGCTCTAACTGCTGTGTGAACTGGTACTTCTCCCAGAAGTGAAACTCAAGCTAAATGTATCAGTTTGCTACCATTCTTTCTGAGAAACTAATTTCAGGAACTTTCCTGGATAATGTTTATTTATTCACCCTTGCCCGTTCCAATGCTTTACCCCATCCCAATAATTATACTGACCTGTGCCTGGTTTAATGGCAACTGGATTGACAGTAGACAATTCCAAATTGGGTACAAGCTCATATCCTTTTTCTTGTTGCTTTCCTTTCCCTTCATGATATCTGCTATAAATGCCACGACCTGCAGAATATCCCCCCAGGTATGAACCTCTTGGGCCAGGGGCTCTGTTGCCTGCTGCACCTCGTCCTCTGCCTCTAACACTGCCTGCTTGTAAAAAAACATACACACACAAAACGGATAAACTACACACAGAAGCAACAAAAGCATACATTGGAACTCTATGATACAATCCTTGAAAGATGAAGGGGGCAAAGGTTATCAAGATTCTTCTGCAATATTTGTTGCAGTGAGCATAAACTCATGTAGCAGGTTATCATGCTTATTACTGTTACATTTCAGGTTTGGTTCATATTTCTAGCCTAAGGAGCATTTTAATATTTAACCGTGATCTTGTATTATTTGGTGAAGAGATGGGCCAACTCTGGAAGCTCTTTCAAATACTGTCTTAGTTGTTGTCCTGTGCTGGTTTTGCAGAGAAAGCCAAACACCTATTTGGAGAGGAAAAAGCTTCTGGAAAGGACCAACTCAAAGGGGGTTGCATGAGGGGATTCAGTTAGTTTGGGCAGGCTATGGAGAGCAGTTGGGAGCCTGAGTTATGCAAGCAGGTGTGTTAACTGCACCTGTTCCTAGTTGCGTCCAGTCACAACATAGCAACATATCCCATCATATCCAAGTGATACCTTGTTTGGACACTCTCTATGCAGGGCTGCCTGTAGAAAATTCAGAACTTTTGCTTGTTCAGTCAGTAGCCAGACTGCTGACTGGGCTGCATATAGGAAGCACTCTATTGAAAGTGTATAACAGTTGCACTGGCTCCTGGTCTATTTCTGAGCACAACTGAATATACTGGTTATGACCTATAAAGCCCCAAATGGCAAATGACCACAAGAAGACTGAGCCTGAGGCTGCTTGGATGTTGAGATCTTCCAGACAGGCTCTTCTCTTTCATGCCAACAGATTCAATGGAGACTCAAGAAAGAGCCTTTTCGGTGGCTTGTCCCAGATTGCACCGAGGGAGGTGCATGGATAACATTCAAGTACAGATGCCTAGGCGGTGTTTTTAAAACAACTGCAAAAAACACTTCTGAAGTATCTGAAGTATCACACATACAAATAAGCAGATGGATACACAGGCACAATTTTTAAAAAGTAGCTGGAATGCTGAATCTCTTTTAAAAGGTTGTGAGCCTTAGTGGGGAGATGAATTGACAATATCACCTGTGCATATCTGTAACACACAGCGCTGGCTTCAGTGTCATTAAGCAGAAAACAGCCTAATGTTCCTCCAGTTCTACTCTGGAGAAAAGATATATCTGAACAAAACATTGGCCAGTGTACTTCCAAGGTGATTATGATTCCAAGATGGATGGCGGGAACGCAACCTGCATATTCTTACAGCCATACTCTGGCCTGAGATTCAGGGGCTATTTCTGCACAGTTCAAACTGATGCTTTCCTCAGGAACCTCAGCTATCTTGAATACTTGCACATAAGAATGTAAAACATCTTGTACATAAGATCTTTATTGTCATATATATCAAAAATAATATTGCAATGCTCCTTAGAAAATATTTAACACATACAGATTAAGACAACTGTATGTACATAAGTCCCTTTGACCTCTTTGGAAAAAAGGTGGGATATAAATATCCTAACAATCAATACTGCTATTTGTTGCTTGTGGGACAAGATGATGTTTACTGAACTCAAATTTATGTCCTACTTTTCTGTTAAATCAAAGGGATTAATAATAAAATACAAAAATGGCAAACATCATTGAAACCTTAAAAATTAAAATACAACCAATAGAATACAATTAAAAATAACAATACATATTAGTCACACTTTTAAGAGAGGAGGGAAAATGAGACAATTTCCTGTCTACCTCTATTTCTCAAAGCTGCCAGGCCTAAATCCAAGTAATTTATAAGGGCAGGAGAAGAGAAAAGATTTCTAGAGAGTGTGAAAACTGTGTTTTTCCTTTCCCTGAAGTCTTTTTACCTTATGGCACAGATTCCACCACCCACAGATTCCATCTAATTTCCACACCCAGGTAACAGAGACTGTTAGGGGCTCAAGCCAGCCATGTTCAATGTTTTGTGGGCCTTGGAGGCTTCCAAGTAGGGTGTTTAAATGGCCTGTTTTACAGAGAACAGTGACCCTTTGAAGGCACCCCCTAAATAGGTCTGTCCAGTATGGGAAAGCAGGGAAGGGCCTTGAAGTTGCCCATCCATGTAGCACCCGAGTTGCTTAGCCAACTGAGCAGGCACTGAGGTTACCTGGCAAGTTTTTTCCAATATGGAAAGATGTATTGTGTGTCATTTAAATTACAGAAGTAACTGCTATGTGTGCATCTATACATAGGAATTACCATATACAAGTTTTATGCAAATATGGATCCTCTTTTCCCCTCATTTTGGGTAATACAGCTGCACCAGAGAAATCACCAAAGCATTCAGAAGCCTCTACTGTGCAGTTGGGGGCCCTTTTTGCTTTCTGACTGATTGTCATTTAATGACACTAATCCACTAGTAAGAGTGGGGCTAACAAAGATATATAAAACATTTTTATACCGGCTGTGTCTTTTTACAAAAGTCAGAGGTCACAGTTGAGAAGCAGGATATAGATTTCAACAAGCCAAAAAGAAAAAAGAAAAATTTATGTAAAAAGGTACATTAAAACTATCGGCATCACCTTACAGCTAATTAAGACAAATTTGTATCAGCTGTAATTACAAATGAAGCACAACATGCCAAAAGCTGTATACTAACCTTTCACAAAATATTCTCGATTTGGACCAATCAGAGCATTGTAGGGATATCCGTAGTAGGTCAGAGTGTACGGATCGCAAGAGTAAACATAGTTGGGTTGCTGAGTAACCTCTGTTGCTGCTCCCCCTCCTTTTGCTGCTTTCTGGTAACGGGTGTACTGCTCTTTGTCTACTGGTTTGGCTAAGGTAACTTCCAAGCAGGACCCTTCCAGTTCAGTGCCGTTGAGGTTATTCATGGCATGAACGGCATCCTCCCGGCTTGTGAAGTGCACAAAAGCATAATCTCGTATTTTTTTCACACGTTCCACACAGCCGGGGTTAAACTGGCCAAACACTTTTTTAATTGTATCCTCTGTGGTTTCAATCATTAAATTCCGTACATACAGGATCTTTACGGTCTCCATGACATCTTCATCAACATCTATTTCTGGCTCTGCCCAGTCAACAGCAATCTGGTGCCCCCAAAGTTGGATTCTCCCAGGCATCAATTTCCTCCTTGCCATAGCAGCTGCTCTGTGACTTTCATACTCCACGAAGGCAAATCCTCTGTTTTTCATCTTATCTGCTGCACTGGCATACACAATGACATCTAACACACCTTCGGTCACTTTGGAGATCTCTTCTAAAATTTCTTCTCTCTTTTTCATCTTAGGGATTCCTCCAATGAATAATCTACAGTTATCCACACTGCAGCACACCCCTAACAGCCGACCAGGACGGATTTCATAGTTATTCAGTTCTTTGACGGCACGTTTGGCTTCATATTTTTGAGTATACATTACAAAGGCGTAACCACGGTTTTTTCCATCAAAGTCCATCATCAGGCGCATTTCATAGATCCGCCCTGCAGATTCAAACACAGGGACCAGCTCATCTTCATAGACATCACGTGGAATTTTACCCACAAAAACTTCACATCCACGAGGAGGATGCATTCCTTCCCAGCCTGGTGGTGGTCCACCGTACTTGCGCTGCCCATTCTCTTGAACCATAGTATATCCGGTGCGCTCGATTAGTTGCAACAGTGCAGCCTCATTGGGTGCACCAGCTACACCTTCAGGGACTTTATTTGTCTGCAGAGTGGAAGAATCGTTACTCATCCTAGCAGCAGAATCTTCAGCTGTCATTATGTCCTAATCATTCAACGTGTTGGGATACCTGAACAAAGGTAATGGAAGATTATATTAGATGCTATTAACACTATATAGGAACCTTTCTATGAAAAGAAGTCTGCTGGTTCACATTTTTAGATGACGGCATGCTTACTTTGCAAACATGGAAAAACGTAAGATTCTGGTATTACTCTTCCTTTCACAAACTGCCTGATTTCTGTCAGAAGGCTCACACTTTTCCATGTGAAGCAACCACTCTTCTTATTGCTATTAAAAATTTATTTCTTTATACATCAAATTATAAAATATAGAAAGTACCTATTGTTTTTATGAGTATCTTCCCTGTTTAATTGCAAGGCTACTAGGCTGTTGATCTTTTTAGAATATAAGTTTACTGAAAGAGTATCTGCCTAAAACTTTAGAAAAATATATTCAGAGTTCTGATATACTAAGTATGTTGGTATACTGCCTCAGATGTTTAACAGATGTTGGTCATAGCACGTATTATATTGTCATGATCATTACTATACAGCAAACAAAGATCTGTTAGCTATATAGCAAACACTGCAGTGTTATACAGAAATAACAGATCATAATAAAATAAACAATGGAATTATTGCATTACAAAGCTGCACATGCAGTATTATTAAAAAAGCTATTGCTTACACAAGTAGCCTATTTTTCCCCATTATTATTATTATTGTAGTAGTAGCAGTTGTAGTTATACATATTATTGCCTGCAGGTTGCCCTCGGAATAACCTAACACAGGAAGAACTGCTCTGCTGTATCAGATCAAACATTCATCCAGTTGTACAAGTTACATAATCTATGAGTTGTCACTATTTCTTTTTCTAACAATTCTTATTATTAGAAAGAGATCATTATTACATTACATTTATACACTGCTTTTATTCCTTTTGATAGGTACCCAAAAGTGAAGTGATTTCCATACTCCATTTTATCTTCACAAGAACAACCCTGTGAGGTAGGCAGGGTTGAGAGTGAATAATTGCCTCAAAGTCATCCAGTGAGCTTCAGGGCCATGGGGGAACTTGAAACCGGATCTCCCAGGTAGATCATCCTAATCACCACACCACACTAGCTCTCAGAAAAATGGACACTAATTAATGTAATGCAGAGCTTAGTATACTTCTGATTTTGGCTGCTTCCACTTATTGTGCACAGTCCATTTGCCTTCTAACTAGTCATTTTGAAGCAGGAATGCTATAGCTTTTAAGCAGCCAAATAACAAATGGCATTATATCGATGTCTTCACAGTTAATTCATTCTTGAACTGAAACATGACAGTAAGGCCAAGCTGGCTTCCTTAGTAAATATGCATTGATCAGGCAGAAAATTCACAGATTTTTATTTAAAATAAACAGGTACAGTAAAGGACTCTGCGGTGGCAAATAAATTAAGCCTCGGTCTAGATGAGGAGGTGGTACTGTTGGTGGGTGGCACTCCTGCTCAGATGAGTAGCATTCTCCTAAAGTAGTTAAGATTACTTGTAGGCTTCCTAATGCTTTGCCTGCCAACTCTCATGATCCCCCATTGTTGGCTATGTTGGCGAGGGCTGATGGAATATATTGGACAAAACACCGGAAGGACCACAAGTTGGCCACTCTTGCCCTAAAGGATGCAACTTGCAGAGTGGGGCTGATTGCCAAACCAGTGGCATCATTACAGGCTCAGGTGACCTTCATAGCTGAAAGAGCCCTTGATCACTTCCAGACGATACTCCAGATGAGACATACTTGGAAGACAATAACTTGGCCACATTTACAAATGCTCTGTTACAACCTCCCAACTTTGAATCCAAATGGAAATTTATTTGATCCCAAATAGAACTAGAAACTGCAGCTTATTCAAAATAATTGGGACTGGATGTTTCTCCAATGTTTTATCAGCTGCATTTGCTCCAGGTCTATTTCTGCAACAATTCAAAGAGCAGGATTTAATACAATATTTTAGTCATTGTTCTATGAACTGCTCAGGCAACATATGTTAACAGGCATTATGTACAATCTGGTCAAAACAAACAACATGAAATCTCTCAGCACTCTACTTCCACTGTTATGTAAGGAAATTAGCATATGTGCTACAATTAGCATTACAAGCTTGCAATATTGTTACTCCAGTTTTTTGCTGCACTGGCAAAGCAGACAACAGGATAGCATAAGTATAGCAGAACTTTGTCCAACACATTTCAGAGAGCCAGTTTTGGAGTATATAAAAGCTTGTACAAATAAACAAATAATTTTTTTCCACCCAAAAGGAGAGTCATTTGCCCATGCACTCTCTATGGATAAACCTATATAACTCAGGATGCCACAAGCAAGGAGCCAATGCACCATGAAAGGTCACTTGAAAAAAGACATAGCCCTACATATATTATGCCAGAAAATATGATTTGACACTGAACATGCTCCATAAAAGAAAGTAGATATGCTTTTGTTCATTTGCCATTTAAATGAGAACCCAGATAAATACTTAGTTAATGTAACTAGAGAATAAAATTCTTATTATAAAATAAGATAAAACAGTAAAGTAACCAGTATGAAACTTGAAAAGATTATCAGAATGCATGATTTGGGAATGTGGGAAAAGAAAAGGGATTAAAAGTCTAATACGTCAACACGAAAAATTAGAGTCCCAGGACAAACCCTATTAGACTGTTATTTTCTCAAGGTCATTTAGATCAGGGTAATTTTGATATTAAAACCTGAAACATATTTCACATGTAACAGTCACAGACATCTTGGCTACAAGCTTGCAGACCACCCGCTTTATTCCTCTGCTGTAGTGAAATGTTCTGATATACTCAGAAACACAATGGAGCATTTATTTATGACCTCTTTTTTAAAGGTAAACATTACTTCTCCACATTACCTATGACACTGAATATCAGGTAACCTTTTGAAAAATGCAACTAACATTGAAGGACAGTGGGGAAAATCAGAGTTTCATAAAGAAGAAAGAACTGCTAATGCCTACACTGATCATAATACACTATTTTTACTGGTATCTGAAAAATATGAACTATATGATAAATACAGCATAGATGTGCTTTCTTCAGGCTTTTTGGGCAGACTTTTCCAAAAGACTCCCACATTTCCCCAAATCCCCTAAAGTTTTGCATAGGACCGTATTAAGTGGACAGATAAAATTCATTTTATCCAATTGCATTTAAAACTTTCAAAAAAAGGTTTGACAAATACAAAAGTGATGCTGGCATAGCATTCTTTGATATGCAGGCATAGTTGTTGCTCTCTTCAAGCTGTGACTGAACTCTCACACTAACCCACTTCACAAGTTATGGCAGCAAATCAAGGATAATTTCAGGACTGGCACAAGACCTTCAACCACCTTAGTTCCTACTCTTATTGCAGCCTCTGCCTCAGCCAGCATCCCCCTCTTCCTGTGGCCACCATCTTCCTATTGCAGTGGTGGTGAACCTATGGCACGCATGCCACAGCGGGCACGCAGAGCCCTCTCTGTTGGCACGCGAGCCACGTCGCCCAAGCATCACCCCAGCAGCCGCGCATCGGATAACAGCGCACATAGGGGCCATGGGCATGTGCTTGGAATTAGTAGTAGCACCAGGCGATGACATCATGAGCTGCGATTCATTAGCTGCAACTCGGCCGAGCTTCCGCATGGCTGGGCAGTATGCTGCCAAGGATATATATTTTTTCCTTGGACTGGCTGTGAGTTGTTTTTTCTAAACTAAGACCTCAGTTTTCAGATTTTATTGCAGTGTTGGCACTTTGTGATAAATAAGTGGGTTTTGGGTTGCAGTTTGGCAACTCGGTCTCTAAAAAGTTCACCATCACTGTCCTATTGCATCAAGCCCATGGTCACTCACTTCTATTTCTCCTTATCACTATCCTGTTGGAGAGCCACCCTGGCTACCTTTGAGAAGTAGTTAGTGAAGCAACCCTGGCAACCCTCCTGATTCCTACTTTTCTAACAAAATCTTGGAGACCTGGGCATTGAGTAGGAGGTGGTTTGAACCACAGTCCAGGCAGTGTTGGAGATCAGTTGGCTCAGGTCACTCATGCACTGGGGCAGCCCAATCGATTGCTCAAGACCCCTTGTTCACTGCTCCAGAGTGCTGATGACACTTTCTTGCAGCTTCTATTCTCAGAGTAAAACATGGATGGACGCATCTGCTTCAGTCTTGAACTGAAACATGACAGTAAGACAGTAAGCTGTGCTAGAGAATGTTTCCTAGCAGATGCTGTGGCTGCAAGGAAGTGGCCAGTGGGATCCTCTGGAATGGCATCCCATAGCCTAGGTCTCACAATGAAAAGTCCTCAGAGTGGGTCACAGGGGAGCAGGGGTTGTGGCCCTTCCAGCAACAGGGCATGCAGCCTTCCTAACAGCAGGTGAAGGTATACGACACACAACTCTTCTGGAGTTCCATCTGAAGCTTCATCCCTCCCACTGCATGTTGCAGCCAGCCTGGCTTGCTTAATTCATGATTTGCTGGGTTGCATGTGGAATGAGAGCTGCTTCCACGTTGCATAAAGAACCTCCATGACATGCTGCCTGTCATGAAAGACCAAACCCTAAATTAACCTAAGAACAACTTGTAGGTTAATTTTGCATTGTTCGGCCCACAAATTATCCAGAATGGCCAGATTTACACATCATGCAACTTTCACTGATCAGCCTGACTGAAGGCTGTTTATGCAAAACAGAAATAGTTCACCCTCAGCACACAACCATGGCTTACAAACTGGGTCATGGCATGCATCAGGGGCAATTTCTAATGCAAAGCCTACAGGTCATTTCACCCACTGAAAGACAACAATCCAAGTTTGCTACCAGCTGTCCCATCAACAGCCAATAACTAGCTCTATGACATATCCCTGGATGATACAGATTTTCAAATGCTCTTAATTTGGGGGGCACATACACTTTGTAAAGAAAACCCGAAGAATTGACAGTGGAAAAAATAATCAGTGCCCTCCTAGTAAGCAAGTAATACCTTTTAAAACTGACACCAGGAGTTTCTCTATGGAGTGCATTTATTGTGC